ATCTGGATGCAGATATCCACGGCTGGGCCCCTGGTGGAGCACTGGGAGTCTAATTAGTGAGAAAGAAGAGGGTTTATATGAGCGAGAATTGTTGAAGCCAAGGTTGGATAAAGCACAGGGACAAATAACCAAATGAATGGAAGCACAGGATCTATGAACCAAAGGCTGAGGGACTCCCAACTGGATCAGGCCTCCTGAACGGTGTTCTGCCTGCATCCCTGCAGGCCAGAAGAGGGCACCAGATTTCATTACAGATGGTTATAAACCATCATGTGGTTGCTGGGATTTGAACTCAGGACCTCTAGAAGAACAGCCAGTGCTCTTAACCTCTGAGCCATCTCTCCAGCCTGAACAGATATAAATTTTTCAGAAGAACTAGAAGAAGAAATAACAGAATGTACACTGAGAAATGAGAGAAGTTTTGATGAGTGCAGAAAATCAAGAATTTGTAGGCCTTATGTTGCATTATCTGGATCATTGGAAGTTGAGTTTTGTGCAGAGTGAGAGATAAGGACCTATAAACTAATTTTTTGAGATTGAGTTTCATTTTAAAAACTGCTCATTTAGCTCAGGGAAAGAATTGGATTTGGGAGGAGTTTGGATACATATAATCGGTATAATTTTAAGAAATTCTCACAGGACCTATAAATAATTCATACAGTGAACTTTGGTTTGGGAATCTCCAAAAATTTCTGAAAAAGCCCTAAAATATTCTACTACTTTATACTACACATGTATGCTAAGTGGTTTATGGAACACTGATAACTGTACATTCATAATATTAATCATATTTGACAACTGCAGAAGATACTTTATGTCCTCCTGTATCAAAAACTCAGCCAATTATTAATGAGTTTCTTTTTAAGAGTTATTTTTATTTTATATATCTGATTGTTTCACCTGCATGTATGTCTTTGCATCCAGTGTGAGCTTGGTGCTCACAGAGTCCAGAAGAGGATGTTGGATCCTCTGAAACTGAATTGAACTTACAGAGGGTTGTGAGCCACCATGTAGTTCCTGGGAACCCAAACTGGATCCTCAAAAGAAGCAGCAAGGGCTCTTAAACATTAAGCCATCTATCCATCACTGTAATTTAATTCTTTACATAAAAATTAGCAAGCACATTAGTATTTTATTTAAATTTCCCATTAATAAATAGTAAAATTCTTTGTATATCAAATAGATTTTTAAAATGACATATTTTGTTTATCCCCTAAAAAAACCTCATGGTTCTAATCCTCCCATCGAATGGTAGAGTATTTCCTATTTTTGCTTATCTGTAACAGAAGCATTGCTGCTTATTAACACAAACTTATGCCAAACAATATGAATATATGCATACCATCTACTAAACAAAAACAGCCTATTTTATTAACTTTTGTTAAAAGTCTGTAATATTAACCAAAGACAATGTGTTAGAGAGGTATAAGTGGAATTAAGGAAAAGTTAATCATTTACAAAGCTCAAAAGATAATGAAGCTCATTTTATTCTGTTAAAATTAAGGTCTCTCAGTAAGAGCTAAAAAGTCACAGATCATATTATCAATTTCCTGAAAATCAGACTGTGATCACAGCAAATGTTACAATGTTGCATTGTTCAGCCTGTAAGTTGACTCAAGTAATCAAGCAATCCTGACACTTCAGGGTAGAAGAAGCCAGACTTCTGAAAGCAAAGTAAGTAGTATGCTCCATGGGCTGAAAGAGACCCTTGAATGTCTCCCTTGGTCAGATCTTCACACAATGATAGAACTTTGAGAGAGAAAACCAGAATATTTTTTAACTCTTGTCTTTAGAGGGGGTTGATTTTTAAATGGTTTCTGAATATGTAACTTATTACAAAAAAACAGTTCAAACATATACACTATACATCATCACCATAACTCTAGATGAACCATGTTGCTATTCAGACAATATATTCTAACACAATATAGGAAATGTCCCAACTTCTCCATGAACTCATAACATATGAAGATCATCATTAAGAAAAAAAGACCAAAAGTGCTGATGCTGTTATACAATACAATAGGAGTACAAAGTGAAATGAGCATGCTAAACAAGTTAATTCAGAAGATATGGTATCTGTATGCTCACTGTTTTGCAGTCTCCTGTGGAAAAGAAACATAGTTTAAGAATGCAAATAGAAGCTGGGAGCTGTCTCAGGCATTTAGTCCCAGCATCTGGGAGACAGAGGCAGAAGGACCTCTGTGATTTTAAAGCTATATTGGTGCACAAAGTGATTTCCAGTACAACCAGGACTACATAGTGAAACCTTGCCTCAGAAAAAAAAGAGAAAGAAAATGAACAAATAAATGGAAAGAAGGAAGGATAGAAGGAGGGAGGGGAAAAGGAAGTAAGAAAGTAAGAACAGGAATGAAGGGAAGAAGGAAGAAAGGAAGGGGATAGTTTAGGAAAACAGATCTTATAGTGTGATCTGTACACAAGTCACTATTTATGTTCGAATGAAGAAAGAAAAGGTTATCAAAAAGGGAGGGAACTTGTTTCTCTGAAAGTCAGGGAGGAACTACTGGAACAAGCATAGACCTCAGGGAATCTGAGGAGAGAAATGACGGTTCCTAAGAAGTTTCATCTCTTAAATCTGTACCAGACTTTGCTACAGAGTGATTGGTCAGATTAATGTCATGACACAGTGACCAGTCTATATTTCTTTGTGGATGATATTCTATATTTAGATAATGGGTTTAAGTATATCTCACCTCAGTAGACACTCTATAAAATCTCACCTATTGCTTTTGTCTGGGTTATTATGGTCATAGCACTGCTTCACAACAGATTGGAAAAGCACCAATAATATAAATCTCTTAAGATAGAGACCAAATTATTTGAAATCCAATGTACTGTCTCTGTCATAGAGATTCCATGGTTCTTCAAGAGTTCCTGTCATTTTCCTGGAGAAGCTTCTGAGACCACCTACTGAAGATATTCTCTCCAGCATCCCCAGCAATAAAGCATATACAACAGGACACTACAACAGAGATTTCCACCCAATGTGGGACTCCCATGGTGAGCTATCTCTGCTCTAGATCTCTTTTGCACTGACCAAAAGCAACTTGGACATGTTGATTCTGGACCCCACTATGCCCCTTTACCTCTACCTCAAATCATAATATTCTGAACATTCTTCCTTTCCTTTCTTCAGGTTTTACTTTTCATAGGCACCACCCACCACACCAATCTCCTACTGCTTACTCTGCTTTGGCACCTGGAAAAGTCTCCCTTGAAGGCTGGAAATGAAATGTTTGCCATGAGCAGAAATGTAGCCTGTGATTGTTTTCTCTTGACACAATATCCATACACACAATGCCAAATGTGCTAGCATACATAGCTTCTATATTGCATGGTTAATGCTTTCAAAGGAACACAAGAGTAAGGATGTGACATAGAGATTATTCCATCAGAATGGTAGAGGGTTAAAAAAAATAATGGCAAAAACTGAAGGAGAAAAATGTTAATTATGCCCTCCTCTTCCCTACCTAATAAGAACATTGGTTTCATGCTTAGACCTTGCCTAGAAAATACATCTCCCCCTACATTGCCTGCATCCCCACAGTTGCCAGACTTACCTTAGGCAGATAAACAGGATGTATGTCCTTTGCCAATATTGTCATTGTCTCCTGGGCATATTCCATAAATTTGTCCTCAGCCTGAGTTTTATCCCTGACTTCAGCAATATGAACAGATCTATTTATCTACAATTTGAGAGCATTAGGAAATCTGGTTGAAACCAGACAGAAATAGAAAAGAAAGGTAGACAATGAGGAGAGAGTTTTTTCTGAGAAGCCTGGATTTAAAGCTCTTTCCAATCTTGACCCCAGAGTCTCTGTTTCAGTCTTCAAAATAGGTTTAATTACCCAAATTTAGATATTTTCCCATCAGAATCATGAAATATTAACAACTTGGAAAGAGTAAACTCAGAAGCTGTATTTTAATTTGTTTCTTAGAGTAGACTGTGAGTGCCAGACTCACTCACCCAGTTGTAGGAAGAAAAGATATAGATGACCAGTACCAGACTGGAGTATAAGATTAGTTAACAGGACAGATAAATCAAAACATGGTGTGTACTTGTTTGTGTGTGTGTGTGTGTGTGTGTGTGTGTGTGTGTGTGTGTGTGTGAGAGAGAGAGAGAGAGAGAGAGAGAGAGAGAGAGAGAGAGGGAGAGAGAGAGAGAGAGAGAGAACAGAGACAGAAATAGACAGAGAGACAGAAAGAGAATAGTTGCTGTCAGCCCAGACCACATGCCAAGGAGCCAGGATTCCAGAACAATGATAATTTCTGATGCAAGTTTCAAAATTTCTATGAAACTTCCAAGCACGTATGGAAACATGTGAAGCTAATTGCACACATTCCTAGGAAAATTATTGTTATAGACAAGACAAAATAAATCCTAGTCAGGCAGTGGTGATGCATAACTTTAATCCTACCATTTGGGAAGCAGTGGTAGGCAGGCAGATCTCTGTGAGTTCCATGCCAACCTGCTCTACAGAGTGAGTTCCAGGACAGTCAAAGCTAAACAGAGAAACACTGTCTTGAATAAAAATGAAACCTAAATTCTAGTCTATGATGTAATTTGGGAAAGAAAAGGGTTGCTGCTGTCAATCATCTAGAGAGATCAGAAATGAACATATAAGTAGGATCTGAGGCTTACTGACTTGGTCCTCATTGGCTTGTTCAGCTTGCCTTCTTGTAGCACCAAGGACCATCAGCCCAGGGTGGCACTCTCCACAATGACGTTGGCCCTCCTACATCAGCCATCAATTGAAAAAATGCCATAAAGTATTGTCACAGACCAATTTGATGGAGACATTTTCTCAATTGAAGTTTCCTCTTCCCAGAAAACAATGGCTTGTGTCGAGTTGACTAAAATTCAATCAGTTGGCTTTGTTTGATCAAGTTGTGATTTGGAGGAAAGGAAGTTGAGGTATGGTGGGAGGTTGAGGTTTAGACCTGAGTATAGGTAGATAAGGTGAGGGGTTGATGGTGCTGATATAAAGTTCATAAACCTTTAAGGACTAATTTCACTAATAATCAACAAACCCCAGGTATGAACTGTAGAATGTACAATGAAGTAATATGGCATCCTAGACTGTGGACAGTTTTAGTTCACAGGTTCCAATAACCATGATTTCTTATAGGCCTATTTGAAAAAATATTATGTGGTGTGTGCAAAGCAAGAAAATTATAATGATGATGATGATGATGATGATGATGATGATGATGATATAATGACATTAGTCTTTAAGGAGGGACAGTCATGGTTCTCCAAGTTTTGACTCCATTTAATGTGTTTTGTTCACTTAAAACTCATAGGTTGAGCATAATGCAGCTGGAGGGGATGAGGGAGTGTTCAGAAGGTGGGATGTTCACATGAGTCAGCACAATGTAACCCATCCTAACTGGATCCAACTTGAGTCACCCAGTATCTTAACAGCCACCTCTTCTGCCTTTTCTTCTAGGCACTATAGGGAATGAATATCATGACCTCAGGTGTTAGTGTAGGCCTCTCAGATAGAGATAAGCCCAGCAACAGCATAGACTCTGGTTTTTAACCTGACCCCATGTGGCAGTTCAGATCATGGGCAATGAAGCCATACAATGTAAACAGGAGTCACAGATATGAACAGAGACAAGGGAAATTCTAATTCCTTGAGGATCCTTGTCTCAAAAGTCTGAAAGCAAATGAAAAGATGTTACTGTTTCCTGAAAATGATCCCAGCCAAGGTACTTTAAAGATGACTTATAAAGGAGAGGTATTTAACAGCACCCTGATTGGAATTATTGACAATATTATAAAATCCTCTGGCTCTGCAACTTAATCAACTGCATAAAACATATCCCAGAGCCAGGTGGTGGTGGCAAATGCCTTTAATCCCAGCACTCAGGAGCCAGAAGCAGGAGGATCTTTGTGAGTTCGAGGCTAGCCTGATCTACAGAGTGAGATCCAGAAAAGGCACAAAGTTACACAGAGAAACCCTATCTGGATTTTTAATGGCTTTCAAAGGTAATTTGGAGATATTTCTCATCTATGAACTATTTTGGGGGTAAAAAATGATGAACTGGCTAATTTGTTCAAAATCTTAGAAGGTGACAAGGACTTAAATAGTCCAAGGGAATTATCACCTGAAGCTAAGAAAGAGTTGGCCTTGGTAGAAAGAAAGATATGAAGGCCACGTGGATCTTATTGATCCAAAGTTGGATTGCATTTTGGTTATTTTACCTTCTAGGCATTCTCCACCTGGAATATTAATGAAGAGGAAGATATTATATTGGAATGGATATTTTTACCAAATAAACCAAATAAAAAATTTAAAACTTATGGGGAAAAAGTCTCTGACTTGATTTGGAAAGGAAAATTGAGACTTTGTCAATTAGCATGAATAGACCCAGCAGAAATTGTCGTACCTTTAAATAAGGAGGACATTGAAAAATTATGGACAGAAACTGAACCTTGGCAAAGAGCTTGCAGTAATTTTTTGGGAGAAATTAACAGCAAATATCCCAAAATTGATAGAATTGATCTTATAAAGAAAGCTCATTGGCTCTTTCCTCGAATTGTATGGCAAAAACCCATATCTGGACTTTGTACATTTTATACAGATGTCAAAAAAACAAGGAAAGGCAGGTTACAAATCAGAAAATTTAAGTAAAGTGGTTCAAAGTCCTTATAATTCAGTTCAAAAATCAGAATTGTATGCTATTCTGTTGGTATTAATGGATTTTTCAGAATCTCTTAACATAGTAACTGACTCTCAGTATGCTGAAAGAGTGGTATTACATATAGAGACTGCAGAATTTATCATTAATGCTTCAGAATTAACTTTTCTATTTATTCAATTACAGGATACAATCAGGAAAAGGAGTCATCCTTTATATATAACTCACATTCGATCTCATTCTGGTCTGCCAGGCCCTCTAGCACAAGGCAATGATGAGATTGATAAAATTTTGATAGGAAATGTGCTGGGGGCCTCAGAATTTCATAAAAAAAACATCATGTCAATAGTAAAGATTTAAAAAAGGATTTTTCCATAACCTGGCAACAAGCCAAAGAAATAGTAAAGAAATGTCCTACTAGTTCCTTCTACACTCAAACGCCATTATCAGCAGGATGTAACACAAAAGGTACTCAGAGGAATGAAATCTGGCAGATGGTCGTATTTCACTTTGCAGAATTTGGAAAATTGAAATATGTACACCACATCATCGATACTTATTCAGGATTTCAATGGGCAACTGCTTTGAGTTCTGAAAAAGCTGATTCTGTAATCACTCATTTGCTAGAAGTTATGGCCATCATGGGTATACCTGCACAAATCAAAACTGACAATGCTCCATCATATGTCTCTGTTAAAATGAAACGTTTTTTTTGCTTATGATAATATGTAGGATATTACAGGTAAACCACATAATCCTGCAGGTCAAGCAGTTATAGAAAGATCAAACAGAACTCTAAAGGATATGCTAAATAAACAGAAAGTGGTAACAAAAAAAACCCAGAAATAGACTGCATAATGCTCTATTAACTTTGAATTTTCTGAATGCCAATGAGAAAGGAACAACAGCTGCAGAGAGACATTGGAAAATATAAAAAAAACTACAGAATTAAATCAGCCTATATACTTTAAGGGATGTGCTGACAAGAGAATGGAAACCAGGGTATGGATTATGTTGGGGATGCGGTTTTGCTTTTGTTTCTACAGGAGAAGATAAGCTGTGAGTCCCATCAAAATTGATAAAGGTTCAATTTGAACAAGAGAAACCTCTTAATTAGAGGAGGTGATAGTTCATCAACCAGCATGAGCATCCAATTTAAACTAACTTGTACCAGTAACACATGCCTTTTCATTTAATCAGATAATAACTTACCAAAAAGAAACATCCCCAAAATTAGTCTTGGGGAAAGGTTTTTGTTTTTGTCTTTTAGGAGAATGAAGGTTAATGAATCTGAAGAACACTAGACAAATGAGACAACTGAAGAAAAGGGACAAATCATCTATCCCAGGAATCAGAGTGAAACGGCTTATAGATACATATTATCTAAAAAATTTTATGTTTTCATAAATGTTTGTTTCTGCTTTTCTCTAAAGAATTAACACTATTGATCTTCTAATAGTCACAGTTCAATTACAATTTGAAGCTGATTTTGGAGTTGGAGAATGACTCTCTCCTTCTTTAAACTCAAGCATGTTGTTAAAAGGAAAATGCAAACTCCCTGTATCATGCCAGAATAAAAAAGCCATCTTTTGCTATTTGACAGGACAAAAGCCAAATTAATTAGGGGACTATTCTATTACTAATCTCAACTCTTTGATTCCATTCTGATTCTTTAAACTTTTTTTAAATTATGAATTTTATATCAAAATTTACATGATTAATATATTTAGATATATAGATATATATACATTTTAAACTTTGTTAAGATATGAATGGTCATATAGAGTACTAACTAATTCTAGAAAAAGGCTTCAATTAGCTGCATATATGCCTTTGTGTTCAAGTCTCTTATCAGTGTTCTGCAGGAAATCACGGCCAGGAATAACATTAACTGAAGTCTCCAGAAAGAACATGGGGCCCAAAAACAACAATAATTCCACGTGGACAATAATAATATCACTAAGCTGACAATCATCATCTTCAGATCACCTTTGAACTACAAGGTGCTCATAGCAATTTTGAGATGACTTGCTGAGATGATCCAGTCAAAAAAAATACTTGAATAAGGACTTGAAATAAACCCTGAACTTTGGCATTATACACAGACTAGATAATGAAGGATATAGTTACCTTTCCTAGAATTTGACAATTAACCTAAAATTTTCTTTCAGGACAAAGATAAATTCACCCATACCCAACAGGAAGCAATTTTAAGAATACGACACCCACATTCCAAAGAGGAGGTGTGGGGCGGGTAGTTTTTTGTCTTTTTAATAGGTTTTGGGTCTGGGATAATTTTCATTGTTTATGGGGGTTGGTTACAAGTTGTTGTCAAGGGTTAGGATAAAGGCTAAGCAAAGGATATTAGATTTAAAGTTCTTGCTTAAAAAAAAGAAAAGAAAAAGAAGGAAAAGAAAAAGACAATTACTAGTTTTAAATACTTTACATTGGATTGGATTGTTTAATAT